GCCGGGAGCAGGGCCCCCAGGGGGCGCTGCAGCCCCACCTGAGACCCGAGACCTGGTTCCCGCCGCCGCCAGGAAGGAAACGGAACGGAAGTGGTTTCTCCCCGCTGCGCGCGTCCCCGGGCCCCGGTGGTTTGTCCCTGCTGGGCCCACGCCGCCGGCCCTCCGGCGTCCTCTCCCCGCCGGGCGCCTTGCTGGGCGGGGAGGCGGGCCCGCGGCCTCCTGTCTGCGCGCTCGGGGGGCGCCGGAGGCCCACGGAGGCCCAGGCCCCATCCCCGGCGCGGCGCGGCGCCCGCGCTCCCGGCATGTTTTCTGGTCCAGGACTGAGGATCATCCCAGTCCGGCGGATCCTCTCCCAGAAGCCTCCTGCCCTGCCTCGGCCGACTCAGTACCCCCTACACACCCGTCCACTCTCCCCAGGCCGTGTGGACCATTCCCAGTCCCGTTCCCACGAGGGCTCCCCTTGCCTACGGAGGCTCGCGCCCCGGCCGCGTCTCCCGCCAGGTACACCGCCCCGCCTGCGCGCCCGCACACCCACACTGCCCTGTTACTGTGAAGGGGTCCCTCCCTTGCACCTTTGGGGCCATCTCAGGAAGCCCGCCCTCCGCTGTCCCCACCCGGACCTTCTCTGGGCTCTGCAGCCCCCTGCCCCTCTCACAGCCTTAGCACACAGGCTGTCATGACTGCGCGGGTCGGTGTCCCACAGCAGACTGGGCCCCCACACCTGGGCCCACAAGCCCGCACCCTCTGACCGTCACTTGCAGACTCGCTTGCACGGGCTTCCAGCCAGACCCCCTCACCCCGCCTCCCCTTTCCACAGCACCCTTGGCCCTGGGCTCTGTTTACTGCCCTGTCTAGACAAGGACATAAAATTTAATGTCACCCGTGACTGTGAAGCGAGTGCTCAGCCTGGGGCCCTGGTGACACCACTGCCCCCAAGACCGGGGAAGGAGGTCCTCCTCCAGATTGGCACCTCCATTCCCGACCTCAACGAGGCTGCTGCCCCACCCAGCACCCGCCTCCCAGGGGCCCTGCAGCCACACACAGGACCCCCACACTGTGAGTTCGGACACCTCGAGGGGAGGTACCTTGGGGGGGAGCGCCCCATGCCGCTACCTCCACAGTTCCGGGAGCTCCTGCGCCCCACCCACACACTCAGCCCATCTTCACCCACCAGGTGGAAGCCCCCTCCCACCCGGGCCTCCTCGGGCCGCCGCAGCCTTCCTGCCAGGCCAAGTACCCAGAGAGCCACTGCACCGCTAACCCCTCCCCAGCTGCTCCTCGGCGTTCTCGTTCCCTCTCTTGGCCACTCGTCACACCCGGGCTGCGGATGCCAGGACAGACCCCATCCCGACGGGAGCCCGCAGGGGGAGCCCCCGCCCCTGCCCCAGGAAGCCAGAGCCAGGGCCTCACCAGCCCTCCCGCACACCCTTCCCGGCCTCTCCCCGGGGACCTGGCCCCAGGCCCTCCTGCCTTGGCTGTCCTGGCCGGCCCTGCGGTCCCCCGCATGCCCCCTGCCCGCCCCCGCCCCTAGCCACCTCCTCGGTGCCCACTGGTGGGGGCAGGCAGGAAGGGGCCGGCAGCCCCGACCAGACCGAGGCTGCTCCCGGCAAGCTGCGTCTCCGCCCTTCTGCCCGCAGCGCCCGCG